TTGATTTCTTTGTATGTATGGATCACTTGGGTTGTTACCGACATCTGGTGAAAATTTCCTGTCATTAGCACCTCTAGTAATATATTTACTGAGAAAAATGTTGACGTGTTCAATACTTATTTTACCTGCTGTATCTTAGCATTTGCACAGTCTTATCTTGACATTTCTCTGATAATATTCTTGAACATGAAATCCGAGGCAGTGATTGGTCCATGCCTGTGTATTTTCCAACTACGTCATCAAGGATCAGCTTTGCGGCACAGCCAGGTGTCGCAAATCAGTTCTAAGACTGAAACTTAAGAATTATTTCCACACTTTGCTTAAAGTAAGACTGAGARGCTTGATAACTGACTTTTACTCAGCTTTTAACTAAGAATTTTTTACACTTATGTCCACTCTTAGTAGCATTCTTATGAGTAATTCTAATAATTTTTTTTAAATACGGGTCCTGGAGTTCAATGCACAGAAATGACACAGAACAAAACCAGTTCTAAATCAAACCCACATGAGTCCAACTCAAAGTGACTTCGAGTMCAGTTACATTTACTTAGGTAACTTTTTGGAAAACAATGTACTTTTATGAGTACTTTTACTTGAGTAATATTACTATAAAGTATCACTACTCTTTACTGAGTAAATCAACTGGATCTACAGGCTATGTATAAAGAACAAACGTGTTTTAACCAAATTTTCACCTGACACAGACACACATCTACAATTTGTTCAAATGAGAATTCTTGTTTGATCACAAATTTTGCTGATCTGATGTTAGTTTCTGTCTGCGGAGATGTTTAAAAAAGAAAAAGATAAAGTAAATTAAGTTGTCACTTGAGGTACTTTGTTCTAGCATACATTACCTTTGGAATTAGTTTAATACGTTTTTATATTTTTAAAACGTTTTTGGAAAAGGGCTTATTTTGCTATTTGTTAGTTTATAATTATGTTATTTGTTGTTGTTGTTGTTTTCATTTTCGTTCTTTAAAATACCAAACTTGAACAGAACTTTCTACTTGTTGTCCGTCTAATGACCTCATTTTAAAATATTAAATCAGATGTGAGGCATTTTGGTGAAGTCACCTGATTCCTTCCTGATTGGCTGCCAGCTCTAATCACCTCACCTGCTCTGGGTCTGGCTCAGCAGCCCTCAGGCTTCTTAAGGTTATTTGGAGGATCAGATCTTTGCTGAAGCATCACTACTCTTGGAGTTGTAAGGACTTCCTGAGTGCCTTTGATCTGCCTGTTTTCCAAGCCTGCTTGAATCCTTAGCTGAAGAGCCTCTCACCTGATTTATCCCATGCGCTGCCTGTCTGCATCCACTGAACCAAGAACCAAATACTCACCCGAGGATCACTCACCTGCAAATACTCACCTGTTGACCTGGGACCACCTTCTTCTCACTGAGTCTCATATACCTACCTTTAAGACATAAAACATCATACCTTTAAACAATAACTCACTGGATAACGAGACCAATCTGTAAACCTTCTGCTTCCAGGTCCTGCTCCCCACCATGTACCTGTAAATAAAGACACTTACCTTTATTTCTAAGTCTCCAGTCTCAATCTGTTTCCGGTTTTGCTCACGTTGACTCCTGTTTACAAACCTGATTGAAGCATCTGTCACTAATTGGATCAGCAATTGACACAGCTGCAACCCATTTGAGTCCTCCTGGTGGTTTTCCTATTTAAGGCGGGTCCAGTGAGCAGGTCATCGCTGATACATCGCTTCCTATGGGTAATGATCCTCAGCCTCAGTCTTACACTTGTGATCCTGAAACTATTAACCNATTTAAGGCGGGTCCAGTGAGCAGGTCATCGCTGATACATCGCTTCCTATGGGTAATGATCCTCAGCCTCAGTCTTACACTTGTGATCCTGAAACTATTAACCTTGTGCTTTTTGTGAACTCTGTGTTCAGTGAAACTTGCCTGAAGATCCTCAGGACTCTTGGACCTGTTAACCACCCGCCTCAATCAACATRACTCACCAGAAAACCAACGCTGTTGTCTGTCTGCCTCCAACGCTCACCTGTGAAGTACTTAAGAACTCACCTACCTGAAAAGTACTCACCTCGGATACTTACCTCGGATTTGAACCCTCTCCTCTACGTGTCACTCGCCTCCTCGAACTGTAAGATCTCTCATTTCTCAAGTTCCTCCTTCAGCATAAATACTTACCTGGATACTCACCTCCTTCCCTTTACCTCCACAGCCTGGATCCCCTGTACATATCCCTACCACCTGTAAATAAATAACACTTACCTTTTATCTGGTCTCCGTGTCTGTTGTCTGTTAAACCTGCTCATCTTTGACTTAGACCTGAAAACCTGATACTGATAAGTGTCAGGTTTAGACATAGAATGACCCAGGGCACAGGCAGAGTTCAGGTGTAACAAAAATATGGTCTTTATTAAATCAAAAAGCTGATGAGGCAGCTGAAAAACTCACTAGAAGGACGTGGCGAAAAAACTACACGAAACATGGAAAAACGAGACAAGCTTTGCAGCACAATGATCGGACARTGACACAGAGACAAGACAGAGCTTAAATACACAGGAAAACTAATGAGGTAACAGAAAACACCTGAGGAAACAAAAGCAACACTAATCACAGAACTGAACACACCTGAGACAAAACAGAACCTTAAAAAACCCCAAACCATAATACAAAAACAGAAACAAAAAAAAAAGATGTTCTGTCAGTTAATAAGTACTTGGTTAGCGTTTTTACCAAATACCACATTTAAATCTGTTTCTAATAAAAATGCAAATATGTATTTTGTTTATTCATATTTTTAAAAACTTGACTAGTGTTTTGTTCAACTTAACATTGCACGTTTTATTTTTGCTGCTGATTCAGATATGGCAATGACCACCTTGAACTAGCTCTATTTCCAGCACATATTCCAGTTTAACACCAGTTTATCACAGTTTATCACAGTTTTTACTCACCCATCTCTGCTGGGCTGTCCCTCAGGCTCCTCGAGGAGTCCACGGAGCACAGGAGGAACAAACATGTCCGTCTGTTCATTGCTCACAAAACTGGGCTTCGCAGGCAGGATGTGAGTGAGCTCCACTGTAGCACAGAACACACAACTTGAGTTAAACGTTCTCATCCACCAGTTCACACTGAACCTCTAACTAATGACACATTGTTACCACTCTGGGATTTACTGGTTTATACACTGATAATAATCCTTCTGATGTGAAGACATGATGGTTGACTTGTTAATGCTCACAATGATGGAGGTGGTGGGTTAATGGTTGTTTACGTAATTTGTTTTAAAAAACTATATCTTCAAGTCTACATGATTTTTAAATTACAGCTTAGTAACTCTATTATTCTTCACTATATTATTATTGTAGTTAAACTGTACTTATTATGAACCCCTGCTACTTTTTGTTTTGTTTTTTTCCAGAGATTTTTGGTCAACTGTAGCACAAACAGCTGCACCTAGCAGCATGAAATTTGATAAGAATGTAGATGAGTCTACCAGCCAACAGTTTTACAATAAACCCCATGTTTGAGGAGGGGGCTCCATCTGAAAAGGAGGTGTATGGACATACATAAATGCTTATAGCTCTAAAACTATTTAACATAGAAGCTTCATATTTGTTTTGTTGTTTATTTCTGAAGGGCTATCATTTCATGGCATCATGTGTTTTTATCCAACTGCCGCCTAGCAGTAGGCAAAAGAATCAAAACACATGACAGAAAATTGTTCTTTCAAGCCTGTACGTCCATAAACATGATCAGATCTTGATCAAATTTGACACAGATATTATTCTGTCTGACCTACACCAACTAAGAGTCAAACAGCCCCGTATGCATGTTCATAAACTCCACCCAAAAGAGTTTGTCTCTAGAAAAAGCTTTTTCAGAAAGTTCAGTTAGTTATAAGACATGGCTGGTGGTGGTCAAAAGGTCATGTCAGGTCATGCTCGTTCATGCTGCATGATACTGGATTATTACAATAATGTCAGGCTCAGGGTCATGTCTGGGTCAGTAACATATGGCTGGCATTGATTTTTAAAAAATAATATGGGTTCTATCTCTTTTTTAGTGTCCGCCACAAGCAAAAATATAATCCGCCATAATGCTTTTACCTTACAGTGGTAAGTTCTGAAAACATAAATGGAACTGAGTGTACACAGAGCATTTAAATTCTAACCCGTTATTTTGATGTTCGTAGATAAAAAGGGAGGCAGAATAGAACACTTACAAATTGTTAGGGGTTTCAGTGATTGTCTGATTGAGGCCTTGATGATGTCAGAGCCATGGATCCGATCCTGATGGCGACGCTGCTTGGTCTCATAGAACCATTCTCCTGTCAGATACCGAAGCTTTCTTTTATCAGTTATGGTCTTCTTTAGATTTCTAAAAATAATAAATAAATAAAACAAATGAATAACAAATTGCACAAAAGGGACCTTAAGCTTACAGTGAGCTTTTTCAATTTAAAGCTGCAGTAGGGAGTTGTGAGAAAACCGCTACAAGTCCCTCCGTCCTGCTCTCAGCTGCGCTACAGCTCCTCCCTCAAAGCGGTCTGCCATGAACACGCTAGCTAGTAGGCGGTACATCCATGATGCCGGCAGACAGCTATATTCAGAACAATCAGAAAGTGACAGTTTTCTTGTAATGCTAGGCTGTTTTTCCACTATTAGCACAGATGCAGTCCACTGTCAGTTTTGAGCTTTAATGATGTTTTGAGCTGTGCAGGGGAACGGTTTCTGACTGGAAGCGGTGTATTTCTGTAAATGACAGTAGACC